AGTAGGCTTAGCAGTTGACGCGTAGCCATAACTCGTCGCCGTACAGGCAGGAAGATGCTTCAACCACATACATACACACGCCAAATAAGAGAACTGTGTCTTCTCTTCGTCTTGCTAATTTGCCATAACTTTTAGCTAATGTCAGTTCCGCTTCAGCCATTCCGCCTGCCAACAGCACTTGGCTTCAACTTTTTCATTTCCACGTCCCATGCGAGCTGTGCAAATTGCTGCTTTGAAAAGTAAACTCTACAATTTCCATGCGTACATTTGCCACGCCCCGCCGCCTGAGTGCTGAGGCGACGACGTTTTATTGTGTACACGTGACACACAATTTTGCAATTGTCGCTGTCTTTGAAATTTGTTCGATGCGATAGTCCCCGACGGCGCGAAGTCTTGTTGTCCACAGCGGCGGCCGAACGTTAACTTTCGATTTTCGAGCTTCATTAAAAATGTTTAGTGCTTTATTTTCGTCAGCAGCCGCGCACCCTTAACCACGACCACGCCCATGGGCCGGCCAGAGCGCCCAGTGCTGCCTATTTCCGCAGCAGCAAGATGTAACTGCTTAGTTAATAATTTAGGCTGCCTTGTTGCGGCGATGCTTAAAGCTTAGCAAACAAACTACGTTGCTTTATGAGGCAGCAAATGACGATGCGTCGCGAGTGCTCGCTATCGACCCATTCGGCAGCAGGACATAGGTTCTGTCCTCTCCTATCCTGTCCTGTCTTGTTCTGTTCTGTTCTGTTCTGCTGTATCCGAGATACAAAAGGTTAGAGAGCGGCGCTGCCTCGACGCTTCGATGATGGTGGCAGTAAATAAAGGCACGTTTATGGACAGCCACTTAAGCGGACAGGGTAAGCTGGCCAAAAATACGCATGTAGTACACACAAGTGCACATCTATATACTCTCTCTCCCTCTCTCTATACATAATGTATTATATATGTGTTCATGTACTGTCGCATGTATAGCGGGCTAGATACACGCGCGGTATTTATGCGATAAACGCGTGTCAAATATAATTTTAGAAACATAATGCTACGCCTAGGAGTATGAAATACTGCACGCGGCATCGTGGAGGTTTCGGCCAGCATCAGAATAGCTGCTAAGGAAACTTTTCCGCCCTGTCAGTCGTTGAGAGAGATTGGCAGCTGTTTTAGGGCATTCCAGAGATTTCGAGCATAAGAATACCCCTATAGCGTTTGGGGTAGGCAAATTGTGAGCTCGCAGAGGAATGTTTATTTATTTTGTTTAAAGCGCTTCCTTGTTACGGTCCACTTTAACACGATGGGCAAAATATGCCAAATCACTTGGATGGCAATACGCCAAGTCAGCGCCACCCAATTAATTGCGGCTCAAAGTATTTAGAAGTTCATGTTGAGGCTTTAATTTTTCATAAGTCATTGGCCAATTTCGCCTTTAACACTTGACCGATACGCATACGCCGTGCTGTCCGGCATGCAGTAGACGAACAGTGTCCCGCGCCGGCACTATTCCTTCCAAAGTGTTGCGTGATAACTCGCCGCGATTGCGGTCACATTAAAGTTTCCGCACTGCGTTTGATTTAGGAGTACAATGCGTGGTCTGGAATTTGTAATTATGGCTGTGAACGCGTCGTGCTGACAGCTCAATGCGGCGGTAGCCTTTACGAGCTGCACAAGGTTTTTGGCGGAACCAGTTTGATTTATGTACCGAGGGCTCGGCCTGAAAGTGCGTGGTACATGCGTGCCATCAATTTTTAATTACCATGCCGGCCACAAAACTGAGTTATTGATGTAGGTCAGAGGACATGCAAGAACTGGACAGTCCAACCAATCGAGCAACTTTAGTGCGGAAAACGTTTTTCTAAGTCGAGCACTCGTGCGGAACTCAAAAGAGAGACCGAAACTTAATTCGAACTATTGTAGCATGGGAAAATATAATTTGCAACATTCCTTGGATTTGGTGATGGTTAAAGTCCTTACGCTACATATTTCTAGATAAAGCCAAAAATTCAGAGGGCACAATGAGTATTCAACTGCAGCTCCTCCTTACCCTAATAGCAATAATAGCTGCCTAATAGGATTAGCTTTGTATCGATTTGGTCCCTCATATCGCCCGTCCCCAGTTGGAAGTTAGCGCCCTGATCCAGCGCTAAGACTAAACAAGTGATAGAAAGGCTTATGGCATTCGTTTTGTTCAACGACAACAATCAAATTTTCGAGTGCTCATGAGTATGGAGCGTTCGAATTTCTGATGCGTAGAAAATTTGTCGTTTTATCGTTAACAAGTCCTCGAAAGCGGCTTAGAAAACAATTTCGTGACAATAAAAAGATTAAAATGCTGTTAAAAAAAACACCAAGGACAAACAATTGGTATGCATTTATAGGAGTGTGAGCTAAGCGGCTTTGCATGCTAAATACTTATACTTCGATGAGAGGCAAATCATGAAAAGAAAACAAATATAGCTGGCAGATGAGAAAGAGCAATTAGTCAGCCTATAGTGATTATTTGTCTTAAAATATTTTCCCAATGGCTGCGAGAAAAGTTTTTGCATATAATTTAAGCGTTAAACCTCAATTGTTACGGACGCATATGTTTCGTTCGTAAAAGCCATAAAGCCAAAGCACTCGCTGCCACACAACAAGGCATACAGAGTCATGTAGTCATTCAGCTATAGACATGTGTATTACACGTTTAAATTAAGCAGCAGCAGCAATTCGAAGCGATTTATGAAGGAGGCTCCAGACACACATGCGGAAAATGCGATAGGGCAACAGTTGTCTGAGCAGAGGAACAACAAAGTATATATATATATGCCATTGTGTCTCATAGTAGTGCTGAAAGCTGTCACGAGTGTCTGCCTGAGGACTCAGCTGAGCTGCGCACAATAATGAGAGTAAAGTTATTTGCGAATGAAAGGATTGTGATTGTGATTGTGATTGTGATGTTAGCATTAACAAAACTCTTCACTTAACCGCTTGTTAGTTTCCAAAACTTCCTGTCATTGTTAATCAAGTTTCAATAGAGAGTTTCTAAATGAGGACTTATCTGGATCAAGCAGCAGTGTTAGAAATTAAATAAGAATGTTGTGTTAGCTTTAACATTTTGCGACAAATACATAACGTCTAGTACCTAAGCGGCTGTCCAAATTGATGAACGACTGGCTCCAGACGCACTCAACAAACACTTTGGCACGCACGAATTCACCGTGGACCTTGGAAAAAGTTAATTGATTTAAACGACGGTAGCTCGCATGTGAAACTTAGCTCATTAAACGGCAAACCACACAGACGCACATGCTCATACATGCTGTAATAAAGTTGCTGAGTGTTTGACGCTGGGCGTGGCCAAATTTATTATATGCTGCATACTTTGAAGCACTTATTTACCGCCGAATACAAGTATCATGCTTGTATGGGTACATACTCAAGATTGTAGGTATGCCCACATAGCGGCAGTTAATTACCTCTTGAGGTGCCAAGCTATGGTGGTAATTACTCAGCGTCACTTGCACCAGAAGCTATATGTTAAGTATACGTGGCGTGGGCTGGCCAAAAATGAGATAAAATACTTGTATTCTAGTTTGATGCTAACACAAATTAAGCCTGTGTGGGTTCGCATCAAATCAACAATGTATAGAAAACGAGTGGCTAAGCAAAGCGTGCTAGACAAATAAATACTACCCACACCATGAGGGATTGTGTTTCAGCAATGGACAAAACCCTCAGTGATTGCAGTGTCTGAAATAAGCGAGTGAGTGCAAATTTAAATATTTGTCAGATTCAAAGTAAAAACGAAATATTTGAAATATATAAATCAAATTTATATAAATTTAATGTGAGTGCAGGCTCTATACAGGAAAAGTTTATTAAGTTATTGAAATTATCGGTCAATCACAATGTAAAAAAAAAAAAAAACCTTCATGTGCATCTCCATGCGTGGATGTAAATACCACAAATTGAACCAATGACGATACTATATGATTATAATTAAATTAATATACTGTGTATATGTGTATAGAGGCGACATCGATTGCCGCTACACTTAAAGAGCCAGCCATGAAATTGATTATAATTAAATTAATATACTGTGTATAGAGACGACATCGATTGCCGCTATACTTAAAGAGCCAACCAGTAAAACTATTTCCAAGTGAATAATCTCTTCAACTAGAGTGAGCAAACGCATTGTTATGAAAGAATAGGCAATGACATGCGTAAAATGTAATTAACAAATAGATTGATTGCCTGATGACATGTCGGGTCAAGAGCTGTATCAAAATGAACATGATGAACATAAAGACATTCCAGAATTAACTCAATTTACATTAAAGCACATATAATTAATTAAATACATGCATAGAAAAATATTTCGGTCGGTGCTTAATATATGCTGAGTATTAAGCTTAAAAAGAAAAATAATAATAATAGAGCAGCATTATTTGAAATAAAAACAAAGCTTTCTAGAGAAATTTCTCTATAAAAGCTAAATAGGACCTGATGAATGAAGCTTGAAAAAAATATTTACTTAAAGCTGCGTAGATTTCGTGTTTGCTGTCCAGCTCTGGAATATGGTATTCCAGCAGTGACATTCACATTTAAAATTAAAACAAAGTTACACTGTAATAAATTGAATTGCGAGTTTACGATTCGTAACCAAACTGCCCTTTTGGGGCAGACCGCAGTGGCTGTCATGCCCATTGAATCGCAATGGCATGCCGAATTCGCCGAATCGGGTCAAGGGGCATGGTCAATGGAACAGCCGCAACAGTTAAATGCAAAATGAAGAAATTAATATGCTGTGTGGCAAGTCAAAGGCCTTAAGCATTGCTCGGCCAAGCAGGACTCAAGCGCGCATTGAGGTAGACATTATTTCAATTATACGCCAATGCAATTGAGAGTCAAACGTGAGCTGCGTGAAAGTTCACGTATTTTGGGGCTAGCAGATAAGCCGACAATGTTTAATGGCGACAAGCACACGCACGTAACCGGCCGAAACAAAAGGAAAAGGAAAAACACGAAAATATCTTTTTAGGAATTTCTTCCCAAATATAATACAAAAGGAGGAATGTATACAAGTCGGCATAAAATTTAATCGTCTGTGTGCGTCATGGAGTTGGGATTGGAGGTTGCGCGAATACGTTTGTATGTCTATATATAAATATAAATACAATTATGGTACAACTAGAATAACATCAAATTCTTGTACTTGTACAACTAAGAAGAGTGTGTTTTCGGTTATAAGCAAAAATACATAAGGGGCGCACTCTGCGCCTACGAATAGAAGGTGAGTACGCTCGTCTGATTGCCCCGCACAAATAGAAAGGGGGGCATGTCCCTGCTGAGGCTCTCCAGCCAGGCCATGTAGAGGGGTGCCGAGACGATGTTCTTGCGTGGCATCGGCAGCGTCATTACCACGAGATCCGACTTGGTTGACTGCTCCCGCAGGTACTCACGCAGCCTCAGGTAGCGATTCGTCTTGTCCACCACGGCCAGCAAATCATCGTCACTAATGAGAGCTGGAGCAATACGAATATAAATAGCCTGTTTAATACACTTCGGAGGAATTGATCAAAGAGCCTTACCTTCGTCCTCATTCAGCGTCGCCTTGCTGCTGTGGCCATTCTCCTTATCGCCCACAACAAAGTCCTTAATCAGTTCATTGAAGAACTGCGTGGATGTCTCCTGCGGCTTCTTGGTGATGTCGGGTATTAATGTTAGATCAGAGTAATCAATGCGAAACTTTGACAGCAAACTGGCCATCGAACGTTGCTCAAACTCCAATTCTGAATTCTTGTTCGCCAACGCATAGACCCTGTTCATCAAAAAGATAATATAAATACATTTATACATTTTCTGTTTGTGAAAGCGCAATACAAATATTTTTCGAATAACTTGCAACAGCAAAAACCCATTCGCGCAGAAAGCCAAAAATGAAATACGGAAATGCAATATAGCTGAAAACTACACCGAACTGTGACTCTGTGGCAGATGCTAATCAATGACCTGCAATAGCTGTGAAACATATCCCCAATCTGACCATTTTCGTTTATATTCGCTAGTCCCATATACCCCGTAGCCATTGTAGCGCAGAGTATCAGCTGTGCAAAACGAGAAGTCAAATCACTCGATACGCTTGACATGGCAAATGTTATACTTAACGCCTCACTGAGTCAGACCAGTTGCGCTTTGGTTCTCCAAATCTCGTTGTGCCAATCGCTCTTTGCTAGTTGGCTGCGTATACTTGGAAAGTAAAAGGAGTGGAGAGCTATCGGGATGACCTATTTGGCGGGCATCTGCTCACAAGCAATCATTGCCTCTGTCAGTCAGTCAGTCGAACTGAGACCCGCCTTAGACATGCTTACTACACCCTGGAGTCGGCTGGAGCTACTTATTATGCCTGCCCGGTTTTTCATTTCAACGAGCAACGAGCAACTCCCATGGAACTCGACTGAAAAGTATCCTGTCATGAGCGTAAAGGTCCTGCCTCGTGCTGGCATATTTAAATAAAATTCAATTCATGCCAAATAAATCCGCACTCGCATATCCGCAGGCTCCAAACCCGCCTTGGGAGGTAAACAATGCGGCTTTCTGCTGGAAATGGTTAGCGTGCCCTCACTTGCAGCTTACCTCAATTTACATGATTGCCAGGTGCGCCGTGTGCTTATGATGTAGGGCAGCAGCAAGGTGAGCCCTCCGTCGTCGTACAACCACCAGACATCGATGACGGCGTGGCTGCGTTTTCGCGTAAATTGAGTCAAGTCAGCCAGCACATCCTTGGGTAGCTCCACACCGCCTGGTCCTCTATAGAGCGAGACGGGATCGTCGTGTTTCGCTTTCGATTTCCTCAGTGTATTGGGCTATGTGTGAGAGTGTGTATGTGAGCAAATTGAGCACAATTTATCTCCAAATGATCTGCCCCACTTACCAGCTCATTTGTGGTCTTGGCATCCAGGGGATCGGGCAATCCGGAGACCTCCTTCACCTGGCTGCCTGCTATGAATGATAAGTCACTCGTACTGGATGCTGTGGGAATAAGGAATAATAAATGCTTCAATACATTTAACGGCATAAGCATAGGTATTTTGAGTGCAGTACAAAAGCCATGCAGAGTCAATTAGAACTAGCAGGAATTATCAAGGCCAGGCGACACTGCCATTGTTTCACTAAGCACCATAAACAAAGCAGTTTTATGCTATTCTTTGTTGCCCATTCTCATATTTACACAATTTATTTTCAAATTGGGAAATGTTATGCAAAACAATGCCTAAAACATGCACGTGCTGTGCCGCCCCCAAACAGCACCGTCCCCGCCGTCTCCTGGCGCCATTTGTCGGTCTGCGGCCTTGTAACGACTCCACATGTAGTCCACACAGTTTTTTGGGTTCGTGCTTTTAGGGGACATTGTATAAATTTATATTCAAATTTACGGGCATTCCTTAATTTGAGCGCAACAAATTGCCGAAAGGGTTTTGTCACAGCTGGCGCTGACTGCGGCAGCGACTGCGGCTGCGACTGCGACTGCGTTTATGGCACCGACTACGCTGATGCCTTCTCGCGGCTGAGTCAGTGGTTGCTTGGTAAATCATTACATTAAGTAGTTTACAGTTAGTTATGGATTTGCTGCATGCGACAATAGCAATTAATATGGCCATAAAAGGCGACAGGACGGACAGAAGCTCAGCCGTAATGCATGCAGGACATGCAAAGTGCGAGGTGTGGAATTGCTTTGGGAGTTGGCGTCTCTGGCATTGAGTCAGCTCATACATATGTATATATTTACCTACTGGCAGCAACCCTACAATAACATCACTTCACATTCCAATCAATTACCTTAAAACACGTAAAATAGATCTTACACTCAACACCACCTGCCCAAGAGCGTATTCTACATAGGCTTTGCTTGAACCGTACTACGAAATAGAAACAGAGTCATAAATAGAAACAAAACCGAAATGGGAATGGAAGTGAAAAAGGAATTGGAATTGGAATTTAGAATAGAGATTGGTATAGGAAAGGGTAAAGCACACACACACACACACAAACGGAACGCAGCATCAAATACTTATAGAAATAATGAACATCGAGTTTTACATTCTCGCTCCACTAAAACGCTAATACTTACTTTTTACAAATTTCAGGCCATTGCCAGGGGGAGCCAACTTGTTGGCGGCATCTAAAAGTTTGTGGTTACAGTTGCAGTTGCAGTTGCAGTTGGGTTGGGTTTGGTGGTGCATTGATAAATTGTGGTTGTAAATTATAATGAATTGTGCACAGGTGCGCATTTGGTTTTTAGAAAGTCCATGCAAAAGTAATTAAAAAGTTCAGCATTAATAAGTGGCCGACGGGAGCCGGAGCCAACTTACCCTGAGATACATTGCGACTCAAGGAGTCCACGCTGCCACTGAGAGCATGGCGCGCCTCGCTGGCCTGCAAATCGTTGGAGCTCTCATTGGGCTGCAGGGTGCGCGGCACCTCCAGACTACAGTTGGCTGTCGTCCAATTGCTGTCCGGAGAGCCCAGCAGCTGAGAGCAATCCAGTCCCTGGGGCACGCGCAATATGGCCACCGAGAGGTACATATCCAATGCCTGTGGATAAAGGCAGAGCAGCATTTTATTCGGGATGCCTCAAACTTGACAATTCTTGCAGCTGCCACTCACTTTGTGCATGACATTGAAATATTGCACCAGTTCCTTGCGCTCGCACGTCTGCCAGTCGGTTTTGTAGCCCATGAGTATAATGTTGGGCTTCAGCTTGCCGATGCCCGTCGCCTGCATGAGGGCGCGGGTGCCAGCCTCAAAGTCCTCGCCATCGATGAGGGCATAGAAGCCCTTGACGCGGTGCTTCTGGAACCAGTTGGAGGCGCGCTCCTTCAGGTAGTTACGGTACTTCTGCGAGCCGGAGCCGCGCAGCACATGTCCACAGACCAGCAGGGAGAGATTCTTCGTCAGCATATAGGCAAAGTCCACCAGAACCGGCCGGGTGTTGGGCAGGCCGGACAGTACAAGTATCTGCGGGCGATAGTTCTTGACATGATCCTCTACGTTGTTCAGCTGCTGCACGGACATCAGCGCGTTCTTGTACGTCTGCGCCTGAGTGGTGGAGCCCCAGTTGACATCCGGCTTGCGGTAGGCAACAATTAAGTACAACGCCAGCACCGCACAGAAGGTTATGAGTGCAGTGGCCCACGAAATTAAAAACATGACCGCTACGCACAGTATGGAGCCCAAGAGGCTCAGCCACATGTTATAATACTATGATGGAAGGTGAAAGGTGAAAGGTATTGAACGGATTTTAGAGACTGGGCAATAACAAGTTCTCACCTTGAATGTTGGCCGCCAGCCGACGGGCTTGGCCAGACTGGCATGGAATGTGCTGAAATTGATTAACATATATGCAGCCAGGAAGAAGTTAGAGATGAGCGGTGCAATCGAGTTAAGGTCGCCAACGAGTATGAAGCTGCAAGATATGAACCATTTCCATTATACACACTTTGGGCTCTCTTGTACTTTAATCAAGGCACTTACATCATGGCTATCAGGAAAGTTAGGACATAGCCACGCACTGGCTCGTTGTTTTTGCCGTAACCCTTTGCGAACCAAACTATTTTTGGATACAGCTCGTCCTTGCACAAAGCCTGCCAACAGGGGCCATTTATTAAAGCCATTGGAGAGGCCTAGGCAAGGACAACAAACACTTACCTGGAAAACCTTCGGAGCGGAAACCAAACTGGCCAAAGCTGATGACAATGTAGCAGCAAAGCAACCGGCATAGATGAGAGGCCCAAAGCCAGACACTAACTCAATTACCTGAAACGAGTTCTGCAATCCATAGAGGCAAGTACCTGTGGACGCTGTGCAAAATTTAATTAGAGTGCTTCGTTAAGCGAACCGGCGGCACAATGTAGCCTACTTGAGGAACAGTTTAAAAATGCGAAGGAACCGTTCAGAGCATCCACCACATAGCCGGTGGCGTCGCGAGCCACAGTGCCTCCGCAGATCAGAACCATGAACATGTAGGTGGCTGTTGTGATAACGATGGCCAGAATGGTGCCTTTGGGTATAGATTTTTGGGGGTCCTAGAATACAAAGAAGCTGAAAATAGCTTACAAAATTGCATAAGACGAGTCTGGGACGCACCTTCAAGTCGCCCGAAATGTTGGCGCCCGCCAGAATGCCCGTGGCGGCTGGGAAGAAGATGGCAAATACCGAGAAGAAATCGTGACTGACGTAACCCTCCGTGCGGTAGTCCGGAAACAGATTTGTGTGGAACAGCGTTGCTACATTAGATTTGATTAAAAGCTTGTTCATTGGCGACACGTTGGCTGTTGCTCACCATTGTAGCCGATGAAGCCCTTGGCCCGCTCTCCCTCGTTCTTGGGCCCAATTAGGCTGCCAATGACGAAGTCGGCAATAGCAGCCAGCAAAATTATAAGCAGACCGATTTGCGCCTGAGGAATATAGGGAAGCATGTTGTGCGGGTGCAATTGAAGCGCAACAGAGCGGAATTCATTAGGCGGCAAAAATTAATCATACGCACCTTGGCCTCCCACTCCATGCCAACCACAACGATAATCAACAGCAGCAAAATGGTCGTGCTGCCTACAATGCGCACGTCCGTGACGCCACCATCAACGATAGACACATCCAAGCTCTGCATCATGGCCTGCAGAGACTCGCAGAAGCCAACCACGTACATGGCGCAGGCGACGACGTTTGCCAGCGAGAAAATGAGACCAATGGAGCCGCCAAACTCGGGGCCCAGGGAGCGGGATATCATGTAGTAGGTGCCACCTACGCAGTCACATTAAAAATCATTTAAAACAACAACTAAGCAGACGCAGCTGACAATGACACAGGACTTACCGCCTTTGATGACGCCGTTCGTGCTTATCGCCGACATTGACAGCGCTGTTATGGTCGTGACAGCGGTCGTTGTCAGTATTAGAATGAAGCCCTCGATGATGCCCGCCTGGCCCACGACCCAGCTGAGGCGCAGAAAAAGCATTACACCCCATATATTCAGCAGGCATCGTATGAGTACACCTTTGATCCAGCCAAATTTGACCTGCCCGTTCGTGTTGTCCGCCTCCGGGTCCCGGTTGCGTTGTAGGCTGTGCGTGTTCTACGAAAGACGAAAGCCAAAGTCATATTCAATAAAGCTGCCTAGCGGTGATAGATGATGCCTCGTGGGTGGAATGTGGGATTGCCTTCAAAGACTAGCGACTCCCTACTGCAGACTCCTAACACGTTGCCGTCAACTTAACAGCAGGTCAACTGCCTCATAGCACTTGACGGCTTTGCAGTCATTCATCAAATTAATCATACGCCACCGCAACCGCAGACGCATGTGGCGCACAATATAACTTTTTCTCTCGCGCTGCGAAACTCCTGAGAACATGTTTTGATAACTTTTAAGACAATTTATTCAAGGTTCATGGCTTCGAAAACAATTGCACACACTTTGAACTTCTAAAACAATTGATTTTTTCGTTTTCGTTTTCGTTTTTTTTTTTTTTCAATTTCAATTGACGCCTACTACAATGCGAATTCGCAGAACAAATTATTCGAAAGTGCAAAACCAATTAGTGGTAATTGATTGCATTACAAATTGAAAAAAAAAAAAGAAGAAATATTTGATGACGGTTACCCACACATATAAAAACTCACATGTATATGAGTCTACTATAAGTCTATACAAAAGGCAGTGTGAACTTTTCCGAAGGAAACATCCTTGAGCTTCTTAACACTTGGCTGGCATTGACAAAGAAGGCTTTCAATTCACAGTCGCGACAGAGTCAGATAAAGGCGTCAGAAAAAACTCACTTTTAGAATAACAAGCACTGACACATTGTAATGCTTTTTGTCTTACACACCAACCGCACGTGTGAACTTAAAAGCCAAAGGCGAGAGTCAATTGAAAAGTCAGCGGCCCTAAAAGGTCCCCCAAGAGTGGTTGCAAAGAGTCGGAAAATCGCATTCAAGCGCCATACAGAAAAAAGATAGCAATCAATGCTGTATTTGGTTTGCATTTAATTAAATTTCAAAAAGCTGCATTTCAGTCTAGCTGATTGCAGCGGCTTCAGTGGTTGCAGTGGTTCCTCACAAACAGCAGCAGCTTTCGTCTGTTTACCCAGGACGCGTCAGTACAGAACGTTCCTCGAACCTCGAACCCACGCAGTATGCTAATGACCCCAACTGTTGACTGCTCTGTTGCCAATTTAAAATGGAAGAGGTGGAAAGAGAGCTCATTGCCACAGGCTACTTGACACTTCTCGTGGCAGCTACAATTTGCAGCGTCAAGCACAGGAGTAGGTTAAAATGCTCTGGCAACGGATGTGACTTTTCCTTCTGAATGCCAGGCCGTTGCCTGGTGTTAAATTGTTCACGAATTGGATTAAATTTAAATTTGCCCCCAGCACTTAATATGGGACAGTAAATGTACGTTATATGAATATAAATTGAGATGGCCATGGCAGTAGAGACACCAAAGGATACTCACTTTCCCCACCAGCGTTGCGTTGTGCAGCTCGTCGAGCGTTGGACGGTAGGCGGCCTGTATGGACATCATGTTGCGATAATTATCCAGACGTGGCAGAGCCTCGCGCGTAAAATGCCTAGATGGACGTTCGATTCAGTTAGCAAGAATACCAAATGCAATATAATTTAATAATAAACTTACCGAAAACTTTTGCCATATTTTGTATCGTATTCATTGTCCAGCAGCTCACGCTCCTCCTGCGAATCATTCGAACCATCCGATTCTTCATTCTGTGGCTCCACTTGAAAGCGCGTCGTCGTCTGCAAGTCCTTAAAGCGCGAGGGCTTATCCTTATCGCGAAAACTACTCTTGATGGATTGCCTGCACCACAAAAACAAAGTTCGCTTTAAAATAGATTAAAAAGGTCGCTGCTCATTGCGGCATGACAAATGTACATTTAACACCCAAGTGCCATGTCCTCTAACATTAAAAATAATAAAGTTGCCCGGGGCGAGTGTTTTAAAAAAGTTTTCTCTTAACTATACACAATTGTATCCATTTCATCCGAAAACTGGCTGCTGATTTTTTTTAGTTTGTTTTTTTGTTTTTTTTTTTATTTCCTTTACAGCTCAATTTTGAAATTTTAGTGAAACAAATTTCATTACGCGCCATTTGAACTGGTTGAATAAAAGACCAATTTCAGCTGTACTGCTCTTTTTAGCCAAGGTGTACTGGCCATGTGGGTCGCTCATGGCCGCAGGACACAGCGACTCGAGCAGACAGAAACTGAAACCGGCGACGGGATTATATGATTATTATGCTGGTTGCTATTGCTATTGCTATTGTTGTTGTCGTTGTTGCTGTTGCTGTTTTTGTGGCTGTTGATGATGTGATGCATGAGTGACTGACTAAATCCCTACTGATTTCTGTTTAATGTGCACTCACGTGGTTTTAGCAATTGGCTTTAACGGCGGCCTGGAGCTACGAGAGGTTACTTTGAAAATTCCAACTAAATGTTATGTTATGCTCTGTCATACGTTGGCGTAAGAGAGATTTTTATTTAATTAATTCAGCTTAGCTTGTTAAGATGAAGACAGAAAAAAAAGAGAAAGCGATGAAGTAACCTTCCTATCCTTTCGTCTTACTTCACTTATGAGCTCAGGTAATGCATTTACGCCTTGAAGCTAAATTATTAATGAATGAAGAAGGCAAACATAACGGATGCAAGCAGAGTAGGAGCAACACGCCTGCCCCTCACGTTTCCCGCTTCATGTCTATTATGAGGACTACGCGATAGGATAACAAAAATGGCAAAGGCGCTCGTTATGAACTCGTGTAAATATGTACATTTTCAATATTGAACGGCGCTTTTGATACTGCTGAATCAATTTCAAGGGGCTTATCGAAGTAATTTACGAAATTGTATCAATTTGAAAGGCATTATAAGGAAAGCTATAAGGCTCAGCTCAATTAATTATAGAATCGCTCCAAAATTTTCGATTGATTCTTCACGAATATTTAACTACCTTGGCATTTAATACAGACGCCGGATAAAGACGGCCAATTATTAAATTGTCAATTGGCAATTAGAGAAATAATGCGAACTCTTAAAAGTCCCATTCATTCCGCATATAAATTTCAAAATGAATAATGCAGAGGGCTCTTATTTTATGGCTTCTGCTTATATTTGGCAATTTATTGCCCTAACAGCAGACCAATAAACTGCCAAAGTCGCCCTACTCAAGAATCCTGCTTGGCTCTGATTAACAGTCATGACCTTTAGTAAAGGACCAAAGAACAACTCATTTTCACTTCGCCGCTGGGAATGCAAACGGATGCCAAGTTGTTCCTTCTGTCAGCTGCATCCATCGGATGCCAATATATCCAAATTGTTCTTAATTTTTTTTTTTTTTTTTTTTTCAGCTGTGATTGGTTCCATTGTTGGCTGCTGCACCGCCTCCCATTTCAATTAGGGCTCCCGTGTCTCTTTCTCCCGAGGGGCTGCTGCTCGAAGCGTTAAGACAAGGCGTGTTTATTGAACTTGCCAAGCAAAGGCCACTCAGCCAGGTCGACAAACTTTCAAATCAGAGATAGCAAATGCAACAAGTCTCAATCGAAGCCAATGGCCAAGCAAACAATTTTACAATGGTTGCCTATCCAATTACATGGCCAAAAAGAAAGTAGAATAATAATTCGCCATGTTATTCTTATCGAAATCAATTTCAATTGAGTCAACATGGATGTAATTTATATGTGACCGAGTGAGTGGAGTGAACTTGGCGCCGTATCATCTAGGCAATTGCAAATATTTACAGGGTATACGATACCCTTTCGTGTACATATTCATAAGAAAATGCGAAACAAAATAAGGCCATTTATGAAATCTGAACATAATGAAAACAAGAAAGTAACTGGCAAAGTAAACGACAAAACTTTTCGTAGAAAATTGACAATTTCTTAAAAGTTTCAATGTTCACAAGTGAGTGAGGAAGGGATGAGTGCTCACCTCTGTTGCCTGGGCTGCTGTTTGTTCAACAATTGTGTCGCATCGAAAGTGTCATCCTCGAGGAGCTCGCCATCGATGTTGGTCAGCCTGCGGTAGACCTCGTCGGCTGGCGGTGCGTGTGATTTGCGGTCCTCGTTGTTGTCATTGTTGTTCTTGTGATGGTTAACGGGATTCACTTGGAAACGGTTGGGCCGGTCGACCGAGGCCATTTCAAACGATGTTGTATCCGACATGTCGCTTTGTGCGTGTGCGTTCGGGTCGATCCTTGTCTTAAAATACCGTTTTGAGTGGTTTGCTTTGGGTTTCTGTGGTTAGCTAATGCCCACAACTTTTCGTTGTGTATTTTCTTCTCTTTTTTCTTTTTTTTTTTGGCTGTCTCAGCACAAGCACTTCACTTCAGCTATATTAGTTCCGTTGTCTATTTATATCAAGGGCTTTCGTTGCCTCTGTCCAGCCAATGAATACTTCCCAGCTTTGCCACAAATTCTTTTCTGCAAATAAAGTACAAATGATTTCAAAAATAAATACAATGCGAATGTGATATGTTGCCGATAAGAAGGCCTGCCTGTATATGTATATGAAATATATTGGCAAAGTGAATATAGCGCATATATATTTCTCTTTAACTGATATTCAAACTATTCAACTGCAGCGTACTGAATCACTCGTGGCACACCAAATTATTTACCCTTGTCGGCAGTGAAAGCATTTTCAAGTAATGTGGTTTTGTGCGCTCTTTCAAATTTTAAGCCGCAAGTACACTGCGTGGCTGTTCGGGTACAAATTGGGTCTCTAAAAATAGCACAAACACAAATTGATGCAAATTAATCATGATTAACAGTGTTATCCTAAGGGAAGACGGTTGCCACGTGAATAAGCCCACCCAGCCACACCTGGCGTATGCGCGATGTTCCCTGTGCATGCAGCACAGGCAGAAGGATGTGAAGTGGCGGCTCGTTGCCCGTGTGGGAATTACGGCACTTGATTGCATAGCGTCGGCAATTTCTCACGTGGTCTTCCTGCCCGGCAGCATCAGTTTGGCATTAGTGGGTCAATGCAGGAGATAAACAGCGCGAGCAATTAGAAAGCAAAATGTTAGAGGCAACCAGACTGAGGCAGAGCGAACCACACACAAGAGACCTGAATAAAAGCGCTAGATAATTACGCCAATTATGCAATTTTTTCTTTTTTGTGAAATATGTGGGAACTTTGCACTCGGGCTACGAAAAATTTGCTCAAATTTATTGAAGCAATTAAGCGCTTAATTCAATAAGCACACGCCGCAACGGGGGCGGCAGGGGGCTCTGAGCTGTGGACTGTGGGCTATGAGCTGCGGGCTGTAGTCTGTGTCCAGGGACAAACGACAGCTGCTGGCAGGCAGTTAGCTATACACGCTGTGCGTTGAACAAGCAACACGGCCTACGGGACTTGGCCTTAGGACCAACAACTTTGTGAACGCTTATCGGCTTGCAACAGAAGGCGAGCCATGCCTTGACCTACGGGGTTCAACAGATCCAGGTGAAAGTTTGATAAGCGCTAAATGCGAAGGAGTTAGGGATTTTGGCAGCAGCAGCTGTTGGTCTGGCGGGCAGGTGGGGCGGAGTATTCTTTGTAATGAAAACATTTTCTAATGATGACATTAAATGGAGATTTTTGATTTATGATTTGACTTAGTTTTGATGAATTGCGCCATAAACAAATTCATTTGCATTCTGTCAACGCTACGAAAAGAATGTGGGTGGGGCCATTAATTTTTTTTGGGTTTTTTGTCTTAGCTGACGCCGGTCATTCGACTCCCCCACACGATATCACTTGACAGCTGCTAAAAGGCATCGCATAAACAACAAGAAAAAGCTGTAAAAAACTTATCTGAATAATTGTTGCCATTGTCCGAGCCACGCAAACGGCTGAGACCCACCAGGCGGGCCCCTTTTAATGGCCCTACAATGGGCCAATTGCTTCCGATGGTGATTTCGCGCTGCCTTTGTACATGTATTTCTTTTTCTGTTGTTCTCAAGCTTTTAACTTGCTTGTTGTATTTTTTTTTTCGCTGTGATTGGACTATGCCTATGCGTATTTAAGCGTTGCTACGCTTTCTTTTCATGGCTCAATTCAACGCCCATTCGCATTTCAATTGCCACAATAAAATAAGATTTTTACTACTTTGGTGGTCTCTGCACCCCAAGGGATGGATATACCATATAAAGCCGGTTCTACGCCCTCTGCTATATGACCGAATTAAATGTACGCCGGGAGCTGCCTGCTTAATAGCCATGAGATAAATTTAACTTTGTAACGCAGTCGTAAAGAGTTGCCATTTTTTTTTTTTTTCAAAGGAACGAAATTAGAATAGATCTGTCAGAGGATGTGGCCATAAAGCCAAAAATTGTCTCTTCAATATCATCAGTAAGCAGAGTACTCTGGGCATTCACACCATCAGAAGCGTGAATACAGGCTATTAAATTGCTAGTACACACTTCCACCTTGACCATGAGCAGCCACACAAATAAAGAATATATTGTATATATAAATTTTATTACATGACCTCAATTATAAGGCGATACAAAAAAGAACAACAATCAAATGGTGACGCTGATGTAAAGACCTGCCAATGCTGCTGAGGCAGCAGCTCTTAATGACAAAACATCATCACAATGGGAAAACATAGACCATGGCCCCTGGATAATCGTGTATTGTGATGACCGTTTGAACGTGCTTTCCGTGTCGCACCAAAGCCCCAAAGTTTATGCCCTAATATTGATATCAATCGTTTTTCTACTAGATGAGAAGCGATACATGTCCGAATGGTAATCAGGAAGACGGCACGCACAAAAAGAAAACTTTCCGACAGCCATCGGTTGTTTTGGGACAACTTCTGCAATATGTAGCACACACACACACACACTACCACCCACGTGGCGCTGTGGCCACATAAGCCACGGTCTCTGTGTGTGAGTGTGTGTGTGTGCGTGTGGGTATGAATGGGCAGGACTATCCGTGATGCACATCAAAGCTGATTTACAGTCAGGCTCCTGTGTACTGACATAGAGAACAAAAAGCTGGAAGGGGGACAAAAAAAAAACAAAAAGAAGTGTCAAAAACATACAACAAAAGTCAAACAAGTCAAGCGTGTGCTGATTTAGACAGTATTAGAGCGGCATGGGGCGTGGCTCGATAAACTTAATGCCAGCAAACTTTAATATTAAATAAAGCCCAACCGGATACTAGCGAAAACATTCTAATACATAAATCCTGTTATATTCGCCAGCAGAGCCAGTCAAACTTCAGAGACGAGCTTAAGTGAAATCCTTTGACATTTCGGCCAATTAACTTCGGAAAATCCGATACGTCTTTAAAATGACTTTTACAAATTATGAACAAATTACGAGGAAGCGTAACTGAGCACACCTAAAAGGAAAATTTATACAAGGAATTAAAGACCTTAAACAAATATTTATTGCCACCCACACAAGCGGCCTAATTGTCATACGAGTAAGCAGCGAAAGTTTCCTCATGTCTAAAATTGAAACTTCGCAGAAGCGAGAAATACCCCGCTGAAGCAGTACTCAAGTTTCTTTCCTGAATAACCGGCAACAAAATTCTGCTTTGTTGCCTGTTCTCAGGCAAGTTCTATTGAGTGTATTGAGAAATTGCTTCAATATGTTTCGAGTCAAACATGTTCCAAGAAACTGAATAAAGATGAGCTTATTTTTTTTTCATTTTTTTTTTTTTTTTTTTTTTTTTTGTTTTGAGCACAGCGAAATATGAAATCATTAAACAGGTTTTGCTCAGAGCATGAGCCGCAGACAAAATTTAATTGCGTCGCATCGGCGTTAAGCTCAACTTCGATTCAGAAGCTACATCATAAAACGAATTCACAAGCACTTCAAATTCCATTTATCATAGATTTTATTGAGTTTGTTAACCTTTTACAAGAGCAAAAGTTTGCTTTTAAATGCCAATGAATAAATTTTAGTGTTTAAATTTTCTTTCAAATATGTTGAATATCTTAAAAACTTCGCACTTCAAACCCTTTAAATCAGTATGTCAACCATTCCTGTCAGGCGCAGCTGTCTGTCAGAGAAATTTAAATATGTCAAAATGTGTCAGCCCGAGAAGTCATCTGATATGTAGCATTAGTTTTTGAGCTCTTTCAATAACCGCAGGGCCGTAAGAGCTGCCAACATCTTTGGGCCAAGCCCATTCGGAAGCCAGTCGGAAGTTGGCAAAGTTTTGGTGTTTTTTTATGCCAGACATTTGTTTATGTAAGGACAAGTATTTCATATTATTTCTGGGCTGTAAATTTGCATTGAAAAGTGCCATAAATATTATTTCGCGAACTTTTATGTCAAGGGTACGCAGTCTGTCTGTCTGTATGTATGTATGTATGTATGTATGTATGTATACTTTGTTGCTCTTCTGGGAGAGCAGGATTCCAATAAGCGATGTATTCCTTTTATGATTTAAAGTCGTAAAAGTGCGGCAGCATATATTTACGACTCAGAAATGGAATGCCATTGAGTAAGTACCCAAGAGCCGACTGTCCCCGGATGCGGGCCATTGGACTGCTCAACTGCTCAACTGCTCAAATGCTCAGCTGTGTGTGGGTGCTTTGCTGTGACTGCAGATTTTATTTGCTTCATTTGCGGCGACATAAATTAAGTGCAAAATTCCACCAAAACATATATATATGTACTTCCCATATCAAGGACGAAACAATGCTGCCGCCATTGAAATTCAAATAAAAAGAAGTATTACGAGCATAAGGAAAATTGATTTGGCGAAATCAATGCCAATGTGATTCGAAGTCGCTTTTATGTTCACTTTCAACGCTTCGCAGTAAAGAAAGTTTTCTCGACAAAAATATAATTCTAACGAAATTCACGGCAACTCATAAAATACCAACGATTAGGCGGGCGCCCAGTGAATTCGATACCAGTTTTCCATAACTTAAGAAACTGAAATTGTTTCTAATAAAACTTAATACAAAATCAATTAAGTATTCGCCTGCTACCCAAATATGACGCATTTCAATCAAATGAAATCGTGCCGATCGACTGCAGGCTGGGGGCGAGTTATGCGATATTCTTTTTTGCAACTGCAGTAAATTTTTTGACGACATTTTTACGACAGTTTTGTGCAACTAACAATAAAAACGATAATATATGAGCTCAACCGATTGCTAGTTAAAAAATCATTTCAAGTCCAGAAGCGCCTCTAAAAATGTTCACACAAATGTCGAATGCAAAAGTGAATTTATTAATTCTCAGTTTGTTTCAAGTGTCTTTAAAGCCCAAGGGCGCACGTAAGCCAATATATGCATAAATGCATATTTTCATGTATAATAAGACAAAACAAAATATAGTGCATAAAAAGTAACTCAAATTGATTTTATTCATGCCAAAAGTGAATTGAGGCATGCACACGAGCTCCGCCCAAAGACTGAGCTACGTATGCAACTCGTACACTAAACTATATACATATTGTGTATATACATATAAATATGTCTATCTACAATTCAGTCATGTGCCGAGGCTCACTATGAATTCGTTTTGAACTTTCATAACTTAATTAGTATGAAGCATTATATACTAATTACTTGCTAAATACTTTGGCCACCATTTCGCCCAGCAATGTTGAGTGGAAACTGCATTGAGGCACGCAACAAACATAATTTCAAGCATGCAACAGTTAGAAAGTTACTCATAATCATGCTCAGCCAATCTTAATTGGGTCATTTGCACGAGCTGCCCAATTCCACGTTAGCTAATTCGAGGCTTAGACTTCGGATAGCTAATCAGCAAGTTGAACTTGGACTAGTTAATAGCGGCTTCATAATCTTAACCTTTCATATTTGCATTGGCTCTGCAGCTCAACAGATAATACCCAGACGTAATTCGTTATGATATCTTTGACAGCTATCCTCTTTTAATTATGGCATTATATTTGGGTCTAACTCACATCATCTTATCATTTTTCAGTTCAGCACACAATTCGGTATATTTTGGGGAATCGTAGGCATTCGCCCAATGCTTGGGTCCACTGCACAAAGCTCTTCATTAATTTTAAATGCGACCGCTCGGACTACATTCTTATGTGCGCTCGGAACAAGACAAGCTCGTTTGCCAATTTCGCTAGAGTTAAAGTGTATTTTTATTAAAATTATTGCGAACGGCAGACCTTCTGTTAAAAATACAGCACAGATAAACAACAGAGTGAGAAAAAGAGAGAGAGGAAAAAATAAAATAAAAAGAATTTCGCCCCTTCAATCAGACGCAAATTGAGCCCCCACAACACACATCAAAGCACCAAATTCTAATCTTCAAGTGGTCTGGGCAGTCGTTGAGGTCAGGTTCCTTGATTCTTTCGTGAATTACGCGTATTTTAATTAAAGTCGTATTCAATTAATAGCCGCTACCAGTACCAGAAGATTTGGTTTTTGTGCACCGCTTTGTTTCACGAAACACGAGCTTTGCACCGTCTGCTTTGCACCGCTGGCCGGTGACCACCTAACCCCAGGTCTCATCAGTTCTGGGCTCAGTCTGTTCTCTCAATTGCCATAAATCTTGATTAAAAGCGGAAAATGTGGCGAAAAGGTGAAAATTGTTCGCGTTTCAGCGAGCGCTGGCGATTGCTATTTTCGTAGCTTGAAGGCTTTTGTATAATTTCCAAGTCGCTTTCTGAGCATTTCCGTTGTAACCAGAGCCCGTCTCCTGCCCTCCCTATCCATCCGGCCACACACACCCACCTCACTTATCTTCGATTGCAGTCTGTTTGTTCGTGTTCATTTTCTTCTCTTCTCTTCTCTTTTTTTCTTGTTGCGCCCCGACTGGGTTATTCTCTGTATTCTCGGTTTGTCAAGGTTCGCAAGGTCAATGATTTAATACTTTAGTAGTCGGCTTTGCATTGTCTCCAAGAGCCCAACATTCCTATGACTTTTCTTTGTGTTCGCAATGTCATATTTTCATTATTTATTGTCTGCTACTGACATGAAAAGCCACGACACTAGCGCCACTTGTTCGCCTTTTCCCAGCTTTATGTCTCTGTGGCTGTCCCCAGCCAGTTGATTGAGAAGTCAAAAGTCAGAAACTATTAGACCATCAGTCGCCTTTGGTGTATGTCGACGATAGGTCGGTCAACGAATGCACATCGAATTGGCTGTGGACTGGATTTCTCTTTTATATGGAATACATATTCCAGTTTGGCTTCTAGTTAGATTGTCTGACCTCGCTTCGGACAGTGGAGCACATTGCACTCATTGCTAACAAAACTTTTCGACAACACTCGTTAGGCATTTGTCACTGTACAATTGTTTGGCTGGGCACAAATGTTCTCATGCATGTGCAGGGTGCGGTGCAGCACTTCAGTGCAACCCCTTAAAAAGGTTCGTCATGTTCCATGGAAACTAGGGTTGATTGAGTAAACAGCGCATGCGCAGCTCCTTTGACAGCAGATGCCGTCAAAGCAGGAAAGCTGATATCTTGAAACTCGACCGTTTGTTTTTTTAAAGCAGGTGTACTCATGGCGCTATGTTCTTGAAATGATATACACTGAAAAAAAAGTCGATCACTCTTTAAACTATTACGAATATCAGAAACACTATACAATTCGAGCAACTGAGCTATCGAATGCTCGTATCAATTTGGTATCAATACAACAATTTTATCTACAGAAAACTTGTTATCAGTTCAATGTTTCCTAGATCATAATTAATAATAGTACAGCCCCAAATCGATTGTAATGCTCAAAGTTAACGTAAAGCGACATACGAGCTATACCTGACGCATATGTGAAATATTTATACTTTACGATATGACGCTACTTTTTCGGATAGTGTCCAAATGTAACTGGACACGCGACCGCAGCTTGCACTGCATTGCAAAGTGCATAGAAAACGAGGTAACCCGAGACTAGATTATACTAGAAATATATATATAAAAAGCGTACATATATATTATATAAATATGTGGTATGTGTATATGCCTCTCCTGCAACAAGTGACTGTAAACTGTGCCTACCTCGTCTTATTCCACACATTAGAAGCACTTAAGATCAGTCCGATTAGCAAATACTCTGAGACGTACAAAGAGTACCACGGCCATATATTGTAACGATTTATGCCAGACATTGACTGCAGCAAAGAGCTAGTCTAACGAAGCGAAGAGACAGTCAGCAGGGAGAATCTGAGTAGAGCGCCAAAACACGAATATTACAGTTATATTATGGCTTTCAAGTTCAAGTGCGTTTAAACTAAGAGATACTTAAAGCAGAATACAAATGCACACTTCCACTGTATATACATATGTATTTATATAGAAATGCATTCGTTCGCATCAGCTAACTTGTATATGCCTAAGTAGGCATAAATTTCGTGAGCAGACTTTCTTTTAATCGCGATGTTTGTCCACTAAATATTGTTTTTGATGATAACAATGCTGAGCTAAGCGAACTTTATCGGGTCGTGGTCATATGCCATAATGAAAAACCCAAATAAAAATATATTTTCTGTTTTAAGCACTCATTTCCAAAATTAAAAGATAAACATTCTTTCGCATACGCCGGATGGAATGCCACATGCCCATAGTCTAAACCAACTAAGCAAATTATACCTAAATGCCAATTTATGCCTCTAAAAGTCTTATTTGCTTATTTCAAGTCTTAAGTTACTTACCCAGCGTTGTTAAAGGCGCTTAAAATCCAATTGGGAACTAACCGGTTTTTTTTTGTGTGCACTTATTTGAAGGCGGTTACTTGTGACTCTCCGTGAAGTTCGTGTAATATTTGTGTATAAGCTGATATGGTAAATAAACTATTCAGTTAAAGGTAAACATAAATAATTATGCAAACAGTTGTATTATCTGCGCGTCGGAGACAATATGTATATATACATAAGTATATGTATACAGATTGTCCAAATGAAACACAATTCAATACCGAGAAAAACGTTTTATCAACAGTAGGCAATGAGTAGCCAAGTGGAGTATAATTATAATAAGCACAATTATTTATATAATTGTAGATGTGTGCTCAAGTAAAAGGTTTTTATTTTTATGCATTTATTTTTAACGTGAATCTTTCAAATGCAAAACTGTAAAAAGAAACGCGGCAAACTTTTGGAACGCGGTCGCACTTAAATATTTTACTCATGCGTTAAACATGTATAGCTGGCTGGTAAATGCATTTTCCACTAATTAAGCATGCTTTCAAGATAGCACTTGGAAAACTTAGAAAACACAAAACCCGCCCACCGCCGACTGTGGGGCGCGATTCAAAAATAAATAGCCAGGTACATTTGTGCATGGGCCGCTATAGCTCATGCCCAAGTGTAAGTAGCTATTCTTTAAGCAGAAACCCAAAATAAAACGCTTTTATTTATATGATTTCTTATTCACTGGAAGAAATTGAAATGTACTTCAAGCACACACAATACAGCCAGCGTGGCCAGAAAAAAAACTCAAACGTTGGCAGAGGCGACACCAAGCCGGAGGCACCGCACGTGCAGAGAGCCAAAGAGCAACTGAAACGAAACGTTCGCGCGATCAGCAAAAGCAACTGTATATAGTGGACGGTTCCATCGGCACAAACGAGCCGACGAACCCAAACACATTAAAAACCAACAAAAAAAACTCAGAAAAAAAAACACAACAACAACAACTGAGCTGTAGCAGGCAATTGTTCGCCGGCAAAGCTGTGACGTGATCGATGACAAATCGCTGAAACGTGCAACACCACTGAAACTTCCACTCAAAGTGGATAAAGTTATGAGTGAATAGAGTGCCTCCACACAGCTGTACATATCTAAGCCCCTATACATACATACATATATGCATATAACTATCAGCAGCACCACTTTGATTCATAAATGTATTCCAGCTACCCGTTAGGGTGGTTAGTTTAATTTTACCCTTGGACATTGCTATTCATGTGGCGTCATTTATGCCCTGAAAACTACACGCTTAAGTCCTGTTTAAGTACTCAAACAATCGCCACATACATCGGTTGTAAGGCGAAAATTAATTTAATAAAATTGTGCGATATTTTCTTATTCGTCTCAATGCAAATAAATATGCAATAGAATATGAAGTGCTTCCCCTGCGATATGCGAATTGATTTATACAAATTGTTTGCTTTCGATATACCTTACCCATTTATCGAGCAGATAATGGTATGGCAAAAACTTTTAATTAAAATATACATTAGTATATTAATTTCGAGATCAAGGTCACTTCCTCTTGCCAACCACAGGACGTTCTTTAAACATGAAATTACAAAAATGAAAATGGAATGGTAATAAATCAAACTCAAAATGTTTACACATATTACACACACACATTTCATGTTTACTACAAGACCCAACTGGTGTAGACGCCTCGGTACATATCAAATCTGACGGATATGCCCTAACATCCATCACATGTACTTAAATTGAAGGAAGTCCACGGCTTGAATGGGCGTCAGTCGGAGCAGCCAAGAACAAAATCAGTTAGGTTCTTATAAATTTAAGGTAATTCTTAAAACTCCTGAGGTTATTTCGCGATTCACGTTGGCAAATAAGTGGGGGGCAGAGCACTTATGCACACAGGCATACATCATACAAATGAGCATGGAGTGCGTGGGTGTGTGTGTATGCAAAGGAACATAAAGGAGGACTTCCATTCCGAAAATATTAATTAAATGTTAATGACCTATTTGCCATTGAAAATTTTAAATTGATTAAAAACGTCTGTTTTAACTTAGAAGTCTACCGACAAATTGTTAATACGATGATTATTGGGTGTAGAAATCATGTTATATGTATGTATATTACAAATGCGCAGCATGCGACACGAAGACCTTATGACTTGACATTTGACTGTAGTTCTGTGGTTACGTTTGAAAACACACATTCACACACACACACTTGCATTCGGGGCACTCATACTAACATACGGCCTATAATTTAATTAGCTGTGGCCTTTCAATTGCGTTCATTATAATTACATATATTTTTATCAGCAGTCGTGGGTAACTGTAGACGACAGTCGCTACGACCAAGACGGGGCCCATGTGCGGCATTTGTCAGTTGTCAATAAGTCAAGTGAGGTTAATTAATTGTGGGTGATAGTGGAGCTCTCTCTCTACGTGCCGTCGTCCATAGTTAACCTGCTAGAAACAGTTAATATTTAACGCGCACACAATTAAGAACGACATATACATATCTTAATCTATACATATATCTGTCGATGTACATATGTACGCTCTTACGTAACAGTGCATTAGGTCCACTCAAGCATATAATTAAATTACAATCCGTGACTCAAGCAAAGCTCAAGAAAAACACCAAATCGCAATATTAATCGTTTTCATAATCTATGTGGGCATTGTGCGGCATTCCAGCCAGACAAAAACATAATAGCTTATGATTTAATTATACATATACATAATTATTTAAATAAATTAGAAGCTATATCACGGCAACTAACTTAGCCCAAGGAAACGTTCTTACGTTATTACTATTATTAATAAGAATTCGATGCGTAGCTGCTCAAAATAACTTGGATTTCTGTATCGATGGTGAATTGTTAAAATGATGCTTGGCTATCGTGTGGGCAATGCTGCCTGGACGCACCAGCTGACGTTGCAGTGCATCTCCATAGAGTTTTACAAGTGAAGGCTCGTCTTCTATGGGCTCTAGATAAGCCTCCAGTCCGCCGATCAACTGGAAAGTGAAACACTATTAGGCGATATGTAAATACAAGATATTTCCAGCACATACCAAACTCTCATCACAATTTAAGAAGCGCATTGCCTGCACATGCTCGGACCAGATGCGTCTACGCCACTTGTTATCATACTTTTGAGCCAGCGGGAGCAGCACTAACGAGCTAAATAGCTCATCGCCGTAGCTTGCCGCTTCGAAGTGGTTTACAAACAGATAGTATAGTGGTTCGAAATTGGCCTTGTCCTCAAATGTAGCATCAAAGTCGAAATGGTGCGTTTTATTCTGCGTGTAGAAATCGAGCAATTGCGCGTGTAGTAGCTTATGCAGCTCCGGCTCCAGAAACTGACTATCGGGACCCATAAAAGCTATCATCAGATACATTAACTTTTCAAGTGGACTGACAATTTGCAAACCCTGCTGCTCTAACTGCTGGACAAAGCTGAAGGTCATGCGTACCACCTGATTTTCTGTGGGAGGTATTCAATTAAGGCGAAGTAAATAGAAATAGCTGAATATTGACTCACCTGAGTATATAACCGCAGGAACCTGCTGTACATTTTGCAAATAATTGTTAAGCAGCAGGCGTAATTGAAAATAAGGCCAATCAGGCATCAACACAGGTGCCTGAGTATAGCAGAGTGTCAGCGTGGGATCTCTGTTTTCCTGCATAAGAGAAACAGTCAATGAAGCACTAACAAAAATAAAACAATATAAACTCACGGCTATAAAATGCGAGTAGACGACTTCCATGCAAGTTTGTTGTAGCAGTTGCAAAGACTTTTCATCTAACTCCACATACTTCCCACTAAAGATGTACCGTTCGAATATGCTCTTCATTGGCTTGGCCTGTGCAGCGCTCAAAGAGCACAAATAGTTATAAACGACCTGAAGCAGTTGCGTGCGTGACAAATAGGTTTCAAAGCCATCGGTGCTCAGTAGCTGATAGACAAACTTCAGTTCGCTGCGAGCAAAAAAGTTGCTGGCCAGAAAGCGATTTAGATGTGTGCTCAACTGCTTTAAATACTCTGCCAAAGGCTCCAGCACAGCAGGTTGGAGTAGCGCTTCAAATAGTGGCTTCATGCCATCCTCCAGTGGTGGCTCAAGCAGAGCCCAAATATTACTCAGCAGCTGCACTGGATACGTGTCGCTCACAATCAGCTGCGGCCCGTAGTCGTTCATCAATACCGCCCCCACATTCGGCAATGGGGCGTGTACATTGCGCCGATCACTGAAGCTGCGTAAAATTATAGAGCTGCGTCTATGTTTGATTGAGAGGTAGTTATTACAGCTGATTAATCAAGAGATCGCCTGTCAAGTCTACTCACGTCAACTGCTGCACACATGCAACAAATCCAGCTGAGCAAACAAATTCTGGCAGAATTTTGCGCAGAAACTGTGGAAAGGACGCGGTGCCCAGGTAACTATGACGAGAGAACCATCCCACAGCATACAGCAAAGCACTCAAGAGCGTCAGCTGTGTGTACTGTAATATAATAAATATGAAATGAGATTGATACTTGATGGGATCTCCAACACTTTACTCACATCCTTTAGACCTTCGCTACGCGTCGCCTTGTGCAGCCAGCTGCAGCAGCAGTTGTGCAATGGCTCCAAGAACAGTTGCTGCGCCTCGATGTCGCATGCACCGCACTCACCGCTCGCCACAATCGCCACCACCACGGCAGCTGCGTGCTGTCGTATAAGCGCCGAACCGCCCACCTCGAATACACAATGATTAAAGTGCCAGTCAAGTATCTGACGGAGCGCAGGCAGGAATTGTCTGTAGAATAATAGGTATTATGATTCCGGCATTTATCAACGTCAAGATCATTAGCTATATAAATAGACATATTTCCAAGCAAGCCTTAGTTTGGGGTTGACGGGCAATAGCTACTTGTTTGAGAATTTAATCCGGACTTATTGAGCAGTGATAAAACTTTGGATATTTGCGCAATGTACTCCAAAACGTTAAGCGTAACGTTAGCATTGCTTGTTTTGTGCTGCGAGATAACCCCACATCAAGCGGTAAGCTCCTATTGATTGAAATATTATCCTACGAATTTTATATAACCAAAACTACCACACAGTTCGATGTACCTGAAGTGGTCAAAAAACATGTGAAAAAATTGCATAAGCGCTGCGTGGCCAAAACGGGCGTCAGTGAAGGTAAGCAACAGGTGAAAGCCCTAATTCAAAGTTCGCTTAGGAGGATTTATTTGCTTGCAGAGCTACTGGAACATGCCCAAAAGGGAAATCTGCCAAACGATCCAACCTTTAAATGTTTTTTGCACTGCATGTTTGATATGTTCGGATTGGTATGTAAAATATGCATAAGACTCCACAATAAATTACATACAACTATTACTAATAGATCGACAGCGATAATGTTATGCACCTGGAGGCTTTGGTTGAAGTATTGCCAGTGGAAATACATGATAAGATTTTGGCTTTAGTAGATGCATGTGGCAAGAAAAGTAACTACGATTATATCCAAGCGTTTTGTTTTTAAAGACTAATTTTTTGTTTTATCTACTCGACTACAGAGGGAGTTGACGGCTGCGATACCGCCTATCAGTCGGTCGAATGCTATATGGCTACGGATGCGCCTTTCATGCTATCTGGCATCACCGAAATACTTGGCTAGCAGAAAACTTACTTGAATGATTCCCGATCTATGATTCCCAGCAGCAGCAGACAACGCAATATGCGGAGCGCCTCGATTTGAACACGTATTAATTTGCCCTACATTGGATAAAAATTGAATGTTACCAAAACTGAATTCAT